GCTGCTGCTGCTGCTGCTGCCGCCGCAATTGCCACTGCGACTGTTACTGCTACTGCTACTGCTACTGCTACTGCTACTACTACTACTACTACTGCTACTACTACTACTACTACTACTACTACTACTACTTACTTCTACCACTACCACTACCACTACCACTATCGCTACCACTACCACTACCACTACCACCAGCACCACTACTACCAGCACCACGACCACGAACACGACGACTACTACTACTACTACTACTACTGCTACTACTACTACTACTGCTACTACTACGACACTGCTGCTACTACTACTACTACTACTACTACTACTACTACTTCTACTATAAGCAGCTACAGCTACTCCTACTCCTACTCCTACTCCTTCTACTCCTTCTACTACTTCTACTCCTTCTACTACTTCTACTACTACTACTACTACTACTACTACTGCTGCTACTATTACTACTAATGATAAGAGTAGTAGCAACAGTACTTCTACTACCATCACCATGGGAGACTCATCCATTGGCAAAGGCCGTCGAGCACCTTTTGGTCTGCTTCGGAAACAACTGCCCCAGTCAGCCCACATAACCCACTGCCCCCTGAGCCCGAACCTCACTCCAACGCCATGTCCTGAAAGAACGAACCGTGTGTGATTGGATAGGAGAACTATGGTAACTAGACAAGATGAGACAAGGAGGTGAGCCTACGGCTATAACCGTAAGACAAAAACACCAAAAAGAACATCACGAATGCATAGGCTTCTACATGATTGTGCTTGGCTCTCTCCTTGCAGTATGTTTTCTTCCACTTCGCAAGGAATTCAGTCTGCTGCTTCTTCATGAGCCGGCTCCACCTGGCATAGAGAGCTCAAGTTTGAGAGGAAGGCTCCTCTTTCAGGCATCTATCGGAGCTTATGATAACCCCTCCTGATCCTGAGCTTGAGTTGGCCACAACATGCTGGACTGGCCCCCATCGCTTGAGCAGGAAGAGCCATACAGGCCACAGCCTGTTTTGCCACCGCACTGATCACTCTCAAGTCTATCACCTCGTCACATTGCAGTTGGTAGGGGACGACTGGTTGATGGAGTTTGGAGTTCTCGCGCGGAACCGAGGGCAAGATCCTGATGGAGTGTACTAGTAGCAAGTGATACTTGCCGGCCCGCTTTTTCAGAGCATTCAGCTGATTGAATCACTTCAGCATGCTGACTCCGCCTCCGCTGCTGGATAAAGATAGTTTGCATGCTCCAAAACGGAAGATGTTAACGAAACATCAAGCTAATAGTTGAAATGAAACTGAACTTAATTGCAGCCGCCGAACGAGTGACAAGTTTCTTGGAGCCGATGGGCACCAAAAGCGTTTTATCGGACACCGGAGCGCAGAAGACACACCGCAAAGTCTGGGGAATGAAGCTGAGCCGTCGACTTGAGCACCACGGGGCAAAATCCCCAAGCGGTGCGCATCAGTCCCATGGCTGTCTCGGCAAATCAAGGGCATGGCTATCGCTTCAGAGAAGATCAACGTCAACCTCCCAACTCAAGCCGCCTCAGACATGAAGTCTCTGAAGAGCGGCACACTCATCAGCACCTCAGGGACAGCTGCTTGCGCTCATTCTGAAACGATCGCTCAAAAAGTCTGCGGTATTCACCGCACCTGCGGAACAACGGCCGACACAAGCCGGTCTGTCCAGTAGTAGTAGTTGGCCTTGGGTCTTCTGCAGGACAAGTGTAGGCATTGCCTGGATGTTGGGAAAGAGTCACAACTGGGATCCACACACTCCCATCGTTGATGTTGGCGCCTGACACATTGAGTCGGGAGTTTCAAGGCCTCTCCATCGTTGGTCATGGCCAGAGGTCGACGGCCTGTCATCTGTGTGAACCAAGCTTGGTGCTGTTCCTCGAAGGAAAAGCTTGGAGATGCTTGGAGCGACTCTACGACACGGAGACTGAGCGCTTAGAGTCCCCGACCGCGCGGCCGCCGAATCCCAGGAGGTAGGCGATGTTCAGCAGCGTCTCGCCGCCTGCGGAGTCTGCAGAGTCTGCGGAGACCGAGTACGAGGCTCCCAGGCAGAAAGGAGCTCCCCGAAAATAAGCAAAGCAAACGATGCCGATGCGCCAAAGATAATGCAGAAAATGCGGAGGAACAGCGCTGCCTCAGAGAGTCACTCATGGCCGCAAGCTGAGTTCGGTTAAGATTTGGGCAACTTCTTTGTCATTGTGGCGAGTTGTGTCTGAGGGCTGCACATAAAGGGAGTACTTCAGCAGGGCGCCGCAAGCTGAATGCGCCTGGGCCCTTGCCGCGACATTCACGATTAAGTTTAAGTCTTACGCACGCTTATGACTTATGAGCAGCAGCAATGTCTGCAATGAACTCTCCGGCTGAGGCCGCGGCTTGTGAAATTCTAAGAGCCGGAATCTTCGTCCCCACATGTAGACAAGGTACTCGCCCTTTGCGGACCGAGGGCTGCGCGGCACGTCACGAAACAGGAGCAGAGCTGAGCTTTCCCAGTCTTGGCCCATGATTGCTTCCCTATCTTGTGACTCTGGAACCGGGACTAGAATCTAGCGCAAGCTGGGCACCGTGCCCAATCTTCCGCAGGCCGTTTCCGCCGATGTGTGGGTGGAGCCCTGCTAGCATGTGCAGGTTTGGGTGTTGGTGGTTCGTCCAAATCCAGATGTCTTGCGTGTCTAGCGACTACGTGTACGCACAGAGCTGGTCATATTATGCGAAATTGCTGGAACCGAGAAGGTGTATACAGATAGTGGAGGTCAGTTGTATACAAACAGCGCCCCTTCATCTGGCATCAACTGGCGCATCCACCTCCGGTACCGATTAAGGCACCGACAGTTTCACCGACGTATCTGCGATCCCGAGCTTCTGGGCAAACTTGATCTGCTGGACCATCTGGGCAGACAACACGGGTGGAGGAAAACATGGTTGCTTCTACTATCTAAGCAAAATGCTGCACGTGCCTCCTGTAACCTGCCCTGCTTAAGCTCTTCATGCACGCAATTTTATTGCTTAGAGGTTGGTGGTCGTCTTAAACCAAAGACCTGAAGCTGGCCGAGGATCATGCTTCGGGGGTGCGTCCATTCATAAGATATATCTCCAAAAGCAGATTGGCTTCCCGGGGCGTCATTGTTGATACAGACCCAAAAAGGATCAATGGATGCTGCTGTCGCCAAGGCTGAACAGCTGCATCAAACTGCCAGATCGAGCTCGAATTTACTTTGGGTCTCCGAAAAACCATCAGGAAAGGGAAGGACAACCACCCCACAGCATATTGCGGTCTCGCCCTCGTGATTCTATTGAAGTAAGTGCAGGATGGCGCTGCAGTTTCGTCCGTCCCGAGACCTACCCCGGCTTCCACCGCCATGACCGCCTCTACACTCTGGTGATGCACGTATTGCACATGATGGCCGCCACGAGGCAGCGACCGTGCGGCTACACTCGGCCATCGTAGGTTGCCAGTCCGTGTGCTCAATGAGAGGCCCGGGAAGCCGCTTGGGCGCTCGGCTGTGTGCTGTGCGGTAGCATTCGCGGTAGGAGCCGAGGTCGCTGTGGTGCACACACTGGCACCGTGCTGGTACGAGTATCATCATCATCATCATCATATCATCATCAGAATGCGAAGAGGACCTTAGAACTTAGAAGCGCCTGAGGACCGAGGAGCGGACCCTAGATAAGACCTGCAAGATCTTCGTGATGGTGTGATCAGATCCTGCCCAAAGGCTTCATCTTCTGATTCTGTTTGGCGTTAGTATTACTGTGACTAAAGTGTTCTGTCTGCATATTTTAAGCTCACCATTGCTTCACGTCGACCGCGAAGTTGCCAGAGCCTTCTAATCTCTCGTAAAGGATCTTGTGCAACCAGAACCTAAGTCGAGTCCAAGCACCGGTGCTGGTAATGGAACTAACCATCCGCCACAAAATGCGAAGGTTTCTTCACGGGTCCACAACAGTTTGCACCACACTCCGAGAGTCCGGCTCTACACTTCGCACGATGTACGCCAACTGTGACAGGCAGCTTCGGATGAGTTTTTGCATGTTTAGGTAGGTATCGTCCTATAGTCTTTCGCTCGGAAACCTTGCTTGTAGCCTCTCAACTTTTGTCGCTACACGGATACTTCGTACTCGTCTTGGGACTTGAAAGGATTTGAGGTTCAAGCCTTGCGGATTGGGGACGATGCATGCATGACCGACGTGCCGACGGCACAGGCGCAAGCACAGGGACGGGATGACGGGGGGTTCCCATGCGCACTGGGCACTTGAAGCTGCCTGCATGTGTGGCAGGTCTTCGGCTGAGCCCCAGGCGACAGCATAGACATGCGCAGCCACAGGTGTAATGATAATTCGCATGAACCTCGACATGCCGAGCCACGGAGAATTCCGAGCTTAACCACGAGGGCACAGCTGCGAGAACACAAAGACGTACAAACACAAGCCTTTTTCTGGGCGGTCCTATGCAACTCTAAGGCAGCACGGCTCCAAGCACGTCTCTCACGTCTTTGAATAAACCTGAAATGAGCTGTGAGGAGGTCTTGCACGTTGGCAGCCTCACTAAACGGCTCCTAAAGTGGCGGTCTACACCTAGTCTGTGAGTCTGTAGGAAGCTAGGGCTCTCAAAGGGAGCGGGGTCGTGGACTGTAAAAGCCAGTGCCACGTTAACTGTTCTGTCAAGTTTGCCCCTAGTCTGCCCACCCTTAAACCAACACGGGACCTACCGCACCACCTCTGAACGGAAAACTGCTAGTAAAACAACAAGACCGTTCGAAGTGTGACAGGTGGTGGCTTCGTGAGGAAACGGACTCCTGGTTCGTGAAGGGCGCGCGTCTGCGCTGTGGGTGTAAGTACTTCTGCGCAATATGTGCTCTCGAGGCGTAGGATTTTCCTGAAGCTCTGTGAGTGAAAAGCTTCGAGGCTGTGGTAGTCGTTGGAGGTGAGAGCAGCGGACTCTAACCCGTAGGTCGCCAGCGGAATGAAGACTGCGCTATAAATACGCCGCTTCCACTTCAATAGTGGTGTATACTGCGTGGAAGTGTTTGCGGGCATGGGCGAGTCTTGTAGTAATTGTCTTTATGTGTGGAGCCGTCGTTGCTGAGGGTAATACCAAGGTGCTGGGCGTGCGTTTCGATGGTGGGTGGAGTGCCATCTTGGACAAAGAGAAGCTAGCTTGTTTAAACTCTCTGCCAGGAGTGACAGCTGTAAACCCCTGAAAACAAGCAAAGCTCGAAACGACACGAAAACTTCCTATGACCGAAGCTTGGGGGCCATGCTCCTCGAAGGTCAACGCCTTGGTGCTCAACTGGCGGAATAAGAACATGCTGATGACAGCCACCTCCGTCCCCGTCGGGCGTGCTGCCAGTACTGTATCTGCCACCCGTGTTAGGAGCTAGCGACGTAACTCTGACGCTGGAGACCTTGGGCTCATTGGACTCGTCTTTGGATTTAGATATCTTTAGATGCTGAAGCTTCCCCAGGCTGAACTTCACATTGACGATCACGGGCCCCGCATTACGACGACCGTCCACAAAGGAATTCGGACCCACAAAAAAGCATGGTCCTGATGGAACTGCAAGCATCTCGGGAACAGCGCGCCTGCAACTGCCGTTTGTCAGCCTTCTAAATTCTACTACCGCCTGATGGCCGAAAACCCTCCCTAAGCCTGGTCTCCATGGGTAACGCCGGATCTCGGGGCGTGGCCTTGATGAACGATCCTATCAGCAAGATCCAACTATCCTGCGGCCAGGCGGGCATGGCAGACTTGAAGCTACGTCTCTGAACAGAGCAAATTCTTCAAAAAATGCACTGATAGTACGCTGCACTGTCGATTGCACCGTCCGTGTTGGTCAGAACACTGCGGATCCAGGCGTCCATGAAGAACCTGTGCAAAACAGCTCGCAACGATCCATTGCTCCTGTGTACAATTTCGCAAAAGCTACTGCTTCTGAAGTCTCCTGACTCAGCGATTGAATGCAGTTCTGCACTCCATCGACGTGTCTCTCCAGGCCTCCAGTAGGAGTCTTCCCAGTCGCAATACTGGGCGAGCTCGTTCTGCCGACACGAGGCCGCTTGGCTCTACAGCGAAAAGCAGCGCATCTCGACAGCTTCAACTGGAAACGCCTGGGTCCCATCAGGTGGCAACATGCGGCAACGTTTGCCCGAGCCTTCCAGTAGAAGAACACGTTAGCGTCCATCCACACCAGCCAGCCCCTCGGCCCCAAACGTCACAAGAGATGCGACATGCGACTGCGCAGTCGCATGCAAGCGAAGGCCCGGCCTTAGGCGGGACAAGCCCGGACAGTAGCTGGTGCCACTGAAATACTCCGCATTGATGCCTGGCACCAGCGACCAGGATCACTCTAAGATTCAGGTTATGCTGTTGGCCCGTGCTGAATCACAAGGCCTGCGCCAGAGAAGAGGAAGCATGCCGAGGCGAAAAGGACCAGGTCCAGGAGTATCGGACCTCCCAGATCATGGCTGAAGAAGACCCAAGCTTTCAAAACAAGTCTAAACAGAGAGGCCGGCTGATGATCTTCACCTCCGGCATGACCTTACAATTGTGGTCAGCATGGGGAATTGCGAGTTGCCGGGCCTGGGTTCCTTTAAACATCACCGACTGAACCCTGCCCCCCGGACCACCTAAACTCGACTAACATCCCTACTTGGGTAGCTAAACCCGAACAATCCCAAGACATCAAACCTACTAGTGTCTCCCTAAACCTCGATCTTCGAAAAGCTCAGAGCCCGGCCCCGTCCTCTGGCTTCACCATGTCTTCCAGGCTGTGCTTCTCGAACTGAGGAGTACGGCTTTGGGGTGTAGAGCTTGATCGATTTGGGGTTCATGGGCCAGTAGTTCGGGGTCAGGGGCATGCTTCAAGGTTCAGGTTTGGGGTTTAGGGTAGGATTCAGACAGGAAGAATGCACTCATGTCGTCTCTGCAAGTAAGCTTGTAATCCTCCACGTTGGCTTGCAGCCATTAGACCAGTAGGTATTCAATGCTGAAGATTATGAATAGGACAGTGTTCACTATCAATGGCTACAAGCGAACGATTCTGTGCTGCCTGCTGCCTTCTGGACTTACTGTTTGATACTTGGTGATTGCCCCTCCTACTACTTCAAATAGTGCTACGACGAAAACGACGACGACTTCTACTACCACTACTACTACCGCCTCTAGCTGCTGCTCCTGGTACTAGTACTTGTAGTAGTAGTACTACTACTACTACTACTACTGCTACTACTACTACTACTACTACTACTACTACGACGACTACTACTGCTACTACGACGACTACTAGTACTACTAGTACTACTACTAGTACTACTAGTACTACTACTACGCTTGCTGCTGCTGCTTCTGCAGCTACTACTACTACTACTACTACTACTACTACTACTACTACTACGACGACTACTAGTACTACTAGTACTACTACTCGTACTAGGGGTACTACTACTAGGCTTGCTGCTGCTGCTTCTGCAGCTGCTACTACTACTACTACTACTACTACTACTACTGCTACTGCTACTGCTACTGCTACTGCTACTGTGCTACTGCTACTGCTACTGCTACTGCTACTGCTACTGCTACTGCCACTACTTGTACTTGTACTA